TTTCCAAATATTCATTTTATGAATGTACTTTTAAAGAGAGACCATATTCCCTCTCAATCTCCATTTTGCTAAATTGAGCCAAATGCCTTTACATCATTTTGCATAAGAAAAGGTTTCCATTTTCTCTTAAATGTCTTAATGGCCCTTCTCTGAATTCGCTTTGGTTTAAACTAATCTGTTTTGAACACTGGTGACCAAATTGCAACATAATTTTCTAAACGGGTCTTACTACTTCCTTGCACCGTGGTACCTTGTCTCTACTATATGTGCCCCACTTAATGCACCCCAAGATTACATTAGCCTTCTTTTGAGTTGCACTGCACTAATGGCTCATGGTCATCCTACAACTAACCAATATACTTAGGTCCCTCTCTTCCTCAGATGTCTCTGTGGCGGGCCAGTAGGGGGCGCTCCTGCGTTGAGCCGCCCACCTCACTGCGCCTGACCACCTTTCAGGCTCCGAGTGCCTCCCTGGGGTGTCTCACATCTGGCCAACCCCTTCCCTGGAGCACACCCGCTAGCCTGGGGTTCCCACTGCCACCATCCAAGGCTCTGGACTCAATTCTGGCTCTGCGCCCCTTGGAAAACACAGGCCTGATCGTCCAATGGGTACTAGACCCAGATGCCATAGCCAAGTCTGCGTTTACCACACCTATAGGGCTATATGAGTTCACAGTTTTACCTTTCGGTATGCGCAACTCTCCTGCCTCTTTCCAAAGACTGATTAATAATCTGCTGCAGCGTCTTAAGGGATAGCCAGCACGGGTTTGTTGCGGGTAGGTCTTGCTTGACCAATCTCATTGCCTTCTATGACCAGGTGACCTATCACCTGGACAAGGGGAGAAGAGATTGATGTCATATACCTTGACTTCAAAAAAGCCTTCAATCTGGTTTCCCATGATCGCCTCTTGGAGAAACTGGCCAATTGTCGCCTTGGGTCCTCCACGATCCACTGGCTGGAAAATTGGCTCCGGGGTCAGACCCAGAGGGTAGTAATTGATGGAAGTCACTCATTGTGGTGTCCTGTGACCAGTG